ATTTTTTTTTTTTTTTTTTTTTTTGCATTTGCTACCCAGGGGAGCCTGTGGAATACAATAACATGCAGTATATATGGTAAACTGTCTTTCACTATGTGAGAAGTGTGAAATACCTTAAGTAGACCAGCAGTTTTCAGATTTGATTTCATTAATGAATCATATTTTTCATTAGGCTGAAAAGGTATTTGTTTCACCATTGGTATTCTAATTTTTGCCCATGTTTTGCTATGTACTTAATAAACTTTTCCAATTGGCTTCCTTTCATAAAGCAGCAGTATTTTCAGAATTCATCTGAACAGCAGAGTTAACCTAGCCATAGTTGTTTTCATGTGAGGTAGACTTAATATTATTCCCAAGATGGTTGCATTACTTCTGAGTGCCTCCTGTTGCTAGCATTGTTTAAGAATTTTGTTCTTTAAGGCAGGAACTCACTATTTAAAAAGGATAGAGCTAGGGAAATATTAAAGCTATGTTTGTGCAAAAATATTCTTATTATCTTAACATAAAGGTGTCAGAACTTTCTAGAAGACTTCCTTTGTCATGGCTTGTGGTTTGATTCTGAGGTTTAAACTACAGAAAACTTACCACTTCTTATTGCTGGACAGCTTTTAGTTCTGGTAGAACCAGAGTGGGCCTTCTCTAGTAGAGTAGAAAAAACTCTTTTTAAGTAGAAAAAAAGAATTATTTAAAATCTAAATTCTCAGTTCTGGGATTTTTAGCTTTCCAGCAATGTGGTAGGCCAGGTCTTTTATAAAAAGACCTGAAAATGTGTGAAGGGTTCTTTTTGTTTGTTTTAATTTTGTGGTAAGTTCAGTTTTCTTACGGGAAGAGCTGGGCTTGCTTTATAAGCAGCTGTATAACAGGAACTGGATGTGTGTCAGGTGATAAATATGAAAGGCTTCAGTATCAAACCAGAATTGTCAAAGCAGAACTTCTCCATCCAGCTTCTTGCAGAAGTATTAGACTGTGCAAGCTAGGCTTTCTGAACTGAGCCCTATTGAGTATGCTGTGTAAATGTGCTAATGCAGTGATGGTTGTGTTTATGCAATGTCTTCAATATTCTGGTAATTGTTTAACAAATGCAGCCCAGGCATTTCTCTCTTCTAGATTTAGAATTCATTCTGATCTATATTTTGCCTTAGCTTTTGAAATGTAACTTCTTCCATTTTGTCAGTGGTGCTCAAATGCCAGGAACCCTGAGGTCTAAATGATAATAGTCTAGCAAAAAAGGGAACTTGTCAGGATCCACAGGTCTGCCTGGATGCTTTGTAATATTACATTTACTCCTGGAAAAGTATGAGCAAATTGATTTTCACTGATAAAACTCTTAGAAAATAACTTGAAAGAATAAATAAGGCTAGAGGATACTGTGCTCAGGTGGAGTTTTCAAAATTACTGGTCTGAAAGTGAACCTCACTGGGTTCTCTAATTTTAGCTGAGTTCTTTGTGTAATTCTAGAAATCTCGTCTTTGATTATTATGGTGCTTGAAGTTACAAGTGAAAATTTCGTTCTCATTTGCAAGAGATGTTGGAAGACTGTCTGATCAGGAGTGATATGGAAAGACTGAATGACAATCTAGTGCTCCCTGCCTGTTTCCAATGCACTAATGAAACTAGTGGATTTCAAACCATAGGATGTTTGGGTTTCTTAGTTTTGTTCCCCCTATGCACACACACAGTGTGAACTTTTTACTGCTGTGAACGTTAAAAACTTTATGCATATTTACAGGAAGGCAGAACAGGCTCACAGAAGAAAATTTTTGCTGAACACACAAATACATCTGTTGTATCAGAAAGTCCTGAGATATGACTGATGAGGTGGGACAGCACTTGAGAGCTTTGTGAGCATCTCCTACTGCTATCTTTTTCCCCAGACATCCAGCCTTGTCTGCCACTGAGGTCAGGATTGTAGATTAGCTGCATGTTTGGGATCTGATCAGTACAGCTATTCTTATCTTTTACCTGGTCTCAAGAGGTTTTTTTCAGTTTTGGTATTTCTGTGACTGAAGTTACTTCCTTAAGAAACAAAAGCTTAGAGGTTGATTTAATTTAAGGATTCTTTACCTGCCTGAAGTATTTTCTGTAGGAGTTTTTTTACACACTTTAGATGAAAAATATAAATACATATTTGACTTGGTATTGGTATTTCTTTGAATGTGAAATATTTGCATACAATTTCAATTGTCTGGCATTCTGTTCCTGCAAAAGTCAGGATTAAAACTTCAAGCTGAATACAGAATGTATAAAACAGGGCATATTTTGATTTTGAAGTAATGATATGGTGAGGTTTATAGCAAATTTTTCTCCTTGTCTTTTGAAAGTGCTGGTTAATTAACTAGTTATCAGTATCTACCTGCCTTTAGATTAAAAACATGCTTGGAATCAATTAAATTTGCCCTGCTTTTATTTTTATAGGAAGTGTGCATTTTCTGCACTCTGTAGATGAAGGAACCACACTACAAAGAAAAGTTTGTAAAGTTTTGATCCTAAATCTGATCTCCTGCTTTCCCTGGGTAGGCATATGAGTAAAAATAATGCACTTTTAGGAAGTACTGGTTTTAACACATTCAGATCCTCAGGAGCTCTGACAATATAAGTCTTTTTTTATTTGAAATGTCTTGGCATGACTTAGGATGTAACTTCCCATCTAGATTTTACATTTAAATATTGTCATAAGACCTTCCCGGAGAGACAGAAGAGTTGTTATCAAAGTCAAGAGCAGAGAGAGGGAGTGCATCTGTTGAGGAATGTACCAGCAAAAGCATTGCTCCATCCACAGCTCTCCAGGATAATCTTGTTGCAGAACCAGAAAAGGCAGAGAAAACCTCATCTAGTCCTGAATAGCTGGTACCCTGTCTTTATATCGGCTTGTTGTGGGAGGTTGTTTTACTCCCCCTCTTCTGAATCAGTCAGATCAGAAATTTTTCAAGTAATGGTCTGATTCTCAGCATTACAGATGATGCCTTTTGACTGTGTTGGGGTTTATTTGTTATGTTTTGGTGGTGTGGGTTTTTTGTTTTTTTTTTTTTTTTTGTGAAAGAATGAAAATGTTGAATAATAAAAAACTACGAGGTTTCCTCAAATAGCTTCTGGACACTGAGCTATTAACTGATCAGAAAGCTATTGTCCTGTGTTGCACTGTGCTCTTCCAAAAAACAGAAGCTGCTGCCCTGGAGAGTGAGTGCAAAGCAGAGAGAGCTGCTGTCTGTGCTTCTGCAGGCTCCTAAAGGTAATACACCAAGGAAAGTTTGGTCTAAAGGGGAGCACTCATATATGTGGCTTTGTCTACTTGTTCTGCTTTTAAGTCAATGGTGGGTTTTTATTTTTCCCCTGCGTTTTGTAACCTCAGAAAGAGTAGGGTTCTGTTTTTTATGGTGAGGCTCTCGAGTGCTCAGTGCTGTAAGGCAGAGGAGTGTTGCTGAAAACGTTGTCACTCTATTGAGTAACATAACAGCCTTGACAAGCTCAGGGGAGTAGTACCCTGGAAACATAGTCCAGCAGTGACATTAGGAGCTTTTATCTCACACTTCTTGGAGGGAGTCTAATGTTAAACACACCCCTTAAAGAGAGAGAGAAAGGTATTGAGACTTTAGAGATGCATATCTGATTTTGGATTTGTCAGGGGCATATGGAAAACAGAGAATTTCTATTCTGCCAAGAGTTTTGTGCGTTTTTTGGAAGTTGGATATGAATCAGAAGAATTTAGGATTCCCAACAAAGATAATTGCTTATTTCAGCTGTTATGCAGACATTTATATCTATGCTATCTTTGAAGCTTAAGCCCATACTATTTGAATTTTACTTTCATAAATTATATATGGATAAAGATTGAAAATGCTATTAAATTTAAAATTCAATCAACACTAGTTCCTAGCAGTCATTGAGTAACTTGGTTTCCCTGTAGTATGAGACAGTGTATGATTTATAACAATTAAACAGAAGCTTTGCATAGGGAGATAAATTCATCCAGATAACAACGTATCATACAGTTTGATGGCTCAATAAGCATTTTTTCCAACATTGATTCACTCCTCTGTATACAGCCCTGGTGTAAAAATGCCTCAGTACTGTATGTGTGTTGTAGCTGACTGCCCTAAATCTTAAATGCTAATTCATTTAGACTCAGTCCTTACTCTTGACTCCATTGTTTTTGGGAAGGAAAAAACAACACTTGTTTTACCTTTTAAATTTTATTTTATTTTACAGTGATGTTAAATTAATTCTAAGGAAAATGTACACAATGTTCTAGTAGCTGAGAACCATATATAGCAGGATGTTTTAAAGCAGTTTTGTCTATGTATTCCTGTTTGTAACAGTAACATATGTAGATTCCTCCTTTTACATGGTGCTGACATTTCAAAGTGTCTTGATTAATTTTGCCAGCACGTGGCCCCAAGTACTTTATTTTTATACTTTTTAAAGTTTGAAAGAAAATAACATTTGAAGTTTTAAATGCTCACATTAAAATGATTTCTGGGACACAAAAATTGAGAGGAAGTTACACTCCAAAATTACTCTTATCTTGAATTTCTTTATGGAACACCAAATAGTTTCCTGGAAGAAATAATCAACTTGATGCACATGTTTATTTCTAGTTAAAAAAGGTCTTGTTTTTCTAAGAAACTATACTTTGAGATAAAATTGACTTATTCAGAGGATGTTATTTTCCTCAAAAGTCATGCTGTGTTTAAGAACTCCTCACAAAAGAGTTTAATAAAGTGGTACTGTACCTAAAGCATTAATTTCAGTCATCACAAGTTACTTTGTTTTAATCACACAGGCTTCTGAGAGAGAGGTGAGAAGAAAAACCAGTTTGTCTGAGACATTTCCAAGAGTTCTAAACTACTAGGAGACTTAATTGCTTTATGGGGGCCAGGCTTGTGGAGAGAGAATGTATTTTTATCAGATAAACCTGGGAGAAACAAAGTTCTTTAACCCGCTGATTGAAGCCTCCTGTGAACATAATGGTCCCTAAGAAGGAAGGTGCAGGGAAAAAGACAGTAGCAGAGGAAGCTGGAGAAGACAGGAGCTGAAGTGATATGACAAAAAAGCGGCAATTTTCCTGCAGTGTAGAGCAGGTAGCTTCACCCCCCATCCTCAGGAACTTGGAAACTGATATCATTATTAAATTGAGCTACTGTTTTAACTTCAGGAAGGAAAACAACCTACTTTTTCATTTGTATTTGACTTGACAAACAGTCTTTGGACTTTGGTTAGTCTCTAAATCCAAAAGTTTATTTCTAACATACAATCTGTCAGAACAGACCTTTGACATAATTTTTTTAAACGCTTCTTCTGTGTGCTATTATGCTTAACACTTTTACAGCCTTGTAATAAACTTTTCAGCTGTGAAGGAAGCACAGCCTTTACATATAAGAATATATGTCCGCAGCTGAAGAAATGTGCAGGCTTCGAATTCCAGTTTAGTCCCGATAGTCTTTTAATATAGTTTATATTGTAGAGTCACTGTCAAATATTTTCATTTTTATGGTTTGAAGGCTGTGTTGAATGAAACTTTCTGAAACTGGCCTTTCAGAGAATCTGAGGTCCCGCGGTCTGGTGGACCGGTTCTTTTTTATGGAATTTTGAATGGTATCTGATGTGAAGTAATAGACTATGGGGTCAAAGCAGCAGTTTGAAACAGCGATGCACAGAGTGATGGGGTACATAGTCCTGACTGCAGTCACCACTGAGCAGTTGACCCAGGTCTGTGTTCTCATAAGGGAGTAAAGTATTAAGGTAACGTTATAAGGCACAAAGCAGAAGCAGAATATCACCAAATGGACAAAAATCATTTTGAGTACCTTTTTCTTGCTTACTTTATTCCGGCTTAATGTAAGTGGTTTATTCAAAGTCCGGAGGACCATAGTGGAGCAGGTGACGTTCAGGATGAGCGGGATAAAAAACCCAACAGTTTCAATGAAGATGACAATCCGGGATAGGTAGGTTTTCCACGTATCTTCTGAGAAGTTTTCAAAGCACGTCCTTTGCTCCGTATTGTTCCGGCGGTTTGTGGACTGGAAAAAGCTTGCTGGTGTGCTGCCTGCTAGCACGGTTATCCACACTGCAACACAGACGATCTTTGCATTCCTTTTGGTCCGGAGAGTCTTGGATCGGAAGGGGTGTACTATAGCTAAAAAGCGATCCACACTGATGCAAGTCAGAAACAAAATGCTCCCATACATATTTGTATAAAAGAGGGTGACAGAAATCTTGCAGAGAATGTCTCCAAATGGCCAGTTTCTGGTTACAAAGTAATAAATCCTGAAGGGTAATGTAAACACGAAAAGCAGATCTGATATAGCTAAATTAAGCATGTAAGTTGTAGTCTCGTTTCGCACTTTTAAAGTACAAGTGAAAATGTAGATCGCTACACAGTTCGCTATGAGGCCGAGAACAAACACCATGCTAAAGATACACCCATACAAAGTATATTTAAAGGAGTCCTCAGTGGAACAATTAGAGCTTACCATTATAATGGTATGTTAAAAATTCCTGTGCTTTGGCGTTTTCTCTGGTATTTTTATTGCAACTTTTTTGAAATTCCAGAAGAACTTGCAGGTCAGATGTATTTGAACAGTGTGCTTTGGCAAGTTTGTTACGCTGTGAGGCTTCAGGGAAGGAAGATGAGCTCTGTGGCAGGGGAGTACATCTCCAGCAGAAATCACCAGGAAGTCTCTCTTCTCTGCCGAGTGCTATTTGTAATCACATAGCCAGTCTGCAAAAGTCAGAAAATGCATCATTTGTGGCAGATGAGGTCACCCCACAGCTTGCTTAATTCCATTTCCCGCCTCGATTCAATGAAGCCATTGTAGGACTTTCTGCCTTACTCTTGGCTGCAGATTGTGACGGCAAAGCCTCGTCCATCCGAATTTTCTGGGAGCGTGTGCTTTAGGGAATGATTTCCTGGCCGCTGCGAAGTGTCGGCACTTGCATTTCCCCCTCTCCCTTCTTTCTGTACAACAAGTTTGTCTGCTCGCTGGCTGGCCCCATGGGGCGGGAAGCAGAAGCAGGAGGGAGCTGCTTGCCAGGGCAGAAACCGAATTCCAGAGCGTGTTTGTTCCTGCAGCCCGCAGCCCTCGGCAGCTCTTGCCAGCCCAGCTCCTTCTGGAGAGCAGAGCGGAGCGCCCAGGCAATTTGTAGCGTGACATCACAGGAAGAAGAGGCCGGGCACGGAAGAATGGTTTCAGTTTGGTTTGTTTGCCTTCCCCTGTCTCTGCTGTACCTTGCAGATGTAGCTTGTAGAGTGCTGCAGCTGCCTCTTAACTCTTTCCATGCTCCCTGAGAGGTCCTTTGTCAGTGTTGCTGGGGACTGGAAACTTTCCTCTTCAGTTATGATGAGACTTTGCCGTGTCTAAATAACTCTCGTGCCCTTAAATTCCTGTTTTTCTTTGGAGATAGTAGTAATTGTGGGATTTTATATAGGATTGAACTAATATTGTGCCTTTTTTTTTAAATAGCTTTGCTTGTAATAGAGAACACATTAATCATCAGAAACCAACTGAGTAGTTCTGTCTAAATTCCCCCCAATACATCAGTACAAACCTCAAGGGGGACAAAGTAACACTGATAGGTAATTAAATAATTGCATCAAATAATTACTGAAAAAGAGAGGGTTGCTCTTGGATGTTCACAGGACTGAGATGTGTTGCAGTGGGAGGAGAGATTTTTTTTAACTTTTTCTATATTAGAAGGCACACTCCAAGCTTTATCTCTAATCATAAAGGTGGTTCTTTTAAAAAAAAAATTACTCTAGTGTTTTTTTGAAATGTTGTGATGCAGAAAGCATTTTCTTGAATATGTAAGCAGAATTAATACAACAAAATGCATGTAGTGTACTGTGCAATTGGTTCTGGTAATTTCAAGGGGAACAGTTACCACATATGCACAAAATACTCCCATTAGTCACTGATAATTGAAACGAAAACATGTTGTAACTAATTATATTGTTAAGTAAATATTACAAAAAAGCAGCTCTTACTGCCTTTAGGGGCAGATATGAGATAAATCTCAGTTTAGACAGACTCATTTATTAAACAACAGCTTGGATAGACTCACTTCTGGCATCAAACCCAGTCTATTTCTAAGTCTTAGAATAACAAATCTCTTCATATCTGGCTGGGTGGCATGGTTCTTTTGAACTGTATTTTAATCAGTTGCGCCTAAGCAAGGCCCTGGGCAAAAACCTTTCTAGTCTGCTGTGAAGGAGAGTAAATAACAGCACTTCACAGGATTTCGGTGCAGTTTCTTAATGTAAGGTACATTAGACAAAATTCAGAAACATGCAAAAGTGGTCTTGCTTATTTTATTTCAAGTTTTCTTTAAAGTCGTCTATGAAACATTTTCACCTTGATTTTGAGGTGAAATCAAGCAGTTTAACTTCAATAGGGTATAACCACAAGAAATCTTCATGACTATTGAAATTCATGCTTCAATGTAAAGCATTTTGGACTTTTAAGTCAGTCGGAAATGAAAATGTGAGCTTGGCAGTCTGTTGTGTCCAGCTTGACATGTAGCATAAAGGTTTTCCTGGCTTTTCTCACAAAAGCAGTCATCACACTCTAAATTTTGTTTCTGTTGCTGGCAACTTTGCATGGTAAGAGAAGGGTTTTCCTGCAAATGTTCTGCATCAGGTCACAGGAGCTCTACTCTTAGTTTTACTGCTCCAGCTTTGCACAGGAAACCTCTGTGGGGCAGGCTTAGTTACTGGAATGAAAATCCCTGCAGTACAGAAATTTGGTGTCACAGGTGAAAACCTCAAGCAATAAATCATATTTAGAGAGTGGAGATGAGGGATGGTGATGAGTGTGTATCTCACTGATTAGAACTTGATTTGGCATTTGGACAGAGGCGTGGGTACACAGAGGCAGGGTGGGATGTCCCACTGATTTTCCCACTGTAAATATGCTTTAGAACAGTGGTGAAGGTGCATCCTCAGCCTTTTTGCTCTATCTGTTGGAGCTCCTGCCTTGCTGTGGCTCCTTGTTGCTCCAGTTACAAGCGTGCATACTGCTTAGAGCTGTATTTTAGGGCTTTATGGTTGTGTTGTCATCAGGACTCTGTTGCCCCTGAACCCTTCTGGTGCAGTACCATACAGGCACTATGCACTAATTGATGACCTAAGTGATACTTGTATATGTCCAGAAACAGCGTTTGGCTGCAGAGTTTCTCCACCTGCAGATGAAAATGTGAAGCCCCTGAACTGACAGGTTTTTTCCTTCCCTCCTTGTTTCAGCGAGGAGGGTTACGACTGAGTGGGCAGGCTGAGTCATTTCAGTGTAGAAGTGTGAAGGGCTAGGGATTGTATACCCACCTTCTTAATTTAGATGTAGCTGATTGTTGCCAAGCAGTGTGTTCATTTGTGTGAGCTTGTCCAAGCTGCAGAACCCGAGTTAGTGTGCTGGGAGCAGTTGGGAGTGAGGAGTGGCCTCCCTTCTGGCCAGGCTCCAGCATGAGCAGGGGGGAAGCCGCATTTCACGCTCTCCTTTTGTTGGATCATGTTTTAAGATGTTGGGCTTTGTGCCAACAGGTTCGGAAAAGTCTTTAGTAGCCCCCAACACCTTAAATTTCAAGAAGTTTAACAATTATGGAGGAAGAATTGACAGGGTGATGGCCTTACTTGTACTCCTTCACCAAGGGCCATTTTTCTTTAGGATGGGAAGGAGGGGGTAGGCAGGAGGAAGCAGCTGCAGGGCGGGCCTTGTACTCTGAGGAGTTTCTTGTCTCCAAAGGAAACAATGCTGTTGCTGCAGGGAAATGCATATGTGAATCTGTCTGCCTTTCTGCATCGGAGATGGGAATGAGTTAGGACCTGTCATTTGTTGCTAGTGCTGTATGAGCAAAGCCTGCATTTCCATCAGCAGGCTTCCTGTGGCTCTTGAAAAGGCACCAAAGGGAGAGTAAGAATGGGTTCCTTAGAGCCAGGAGCTGATGAGATGCTTGAAATCATCTCTCACTTCAGCAAGCAAATTTTTTTGCACTGCTTCAGGCAGTTGCCACATAACTCTACCTCTCTGAGTTTAGATACCTATTTAAGCGATTTTGGATTTGTGTGGCAAACCTGCTCCACCACAGGGGTTCAGAAGGAAAAGTGCTAATAACCTTAGCAGTGTGCTAGGAGAGTGGCTGTAGGACACTGTTTCTTCCTTCCCAAGATGCCACAGAGTTGATTACTTGCTGTCATTTAGGACATGGAGGGCAGGATCCCTTAAATTCCGAAGTCCAAGTCAAGTGGCAAAAAACATTTCACTGAAATAAAACAAGTATTTGAAGGCTTTCCAAGCTTTGGAGTTGTGCTGACCAGTGCTATATGTTCCTCTGGTAGTAACCTCACCTTCAGAGCTGGAATTAAACCAAAGTTGTGGTCAAAGGTGAAATGCATTTGAACTTGTCTAATGTACTGCATTCAGTCTGTGCTGATGCTAATACTGAAAGCTCTTTTTGGGGAAAAAAGCAACTTCAGCATTAATAGCATTGTAATAAATTCTTCCAGTGTTTCCCAGGCCAGAGTATGCACTGTTAAATGAGAGTTGTCAGGTGCACAAAATGCTGTGTGTAAGACCATTCTTTAGTAACTCCTGTTACTGCTTTTAGAGGCACACCTGTGTCATGGTGCAGGCATTTGTTCTCACTTGAGTTAAGCAGTCTTATGCAGAAGAACTTGTGCTGTCTGGTACAGGGAAGATAAACCCTGGCAGGACAATATTTCAATATTTTCTTTGACCTAAATATTGTTACTTATCTAGTTATTTTAGTGGGTTTTACCTTTTTTTTTTTTCTTTTTTTTGTCTGTTTACTAGAGTTTCTCTGAACATGGGTATGTACTGGAAAGAACTTATTATGGTTGAGAAGTAGGGCTGAGAGCCAGGATATCTTTCTGGCTGTGCCACAGATTTTCTGTTCCAATCCTGGCAAAATATTCTATGGCTTGGTCCTCAAGCTTCCATCCACATCAGAGCTTGTTCACTTCCACACTGGGATGTGAGGCTGTCTTGATCTAAGCTAAATACAGTTTGAAGCCCTTAGATGGAGAACCCTCTATTAAATACCATCTTGAGATAATTACAGTGGTTACTGAATGTGACAAAATATAGACAGATTAAAGTTTCATATTTTTAGGTTAGATTCCAGCCAAGCAAAAGGATTAATTAAGAGACTTAATTTGTTTCATCTCCATAAGTCTCTGGAAAAATAAGTATAGAAGAAGCAGGGCTGGGCATTTTGACCTTCTCAGCTGTCTTTTGGGGCTGCCTGCTCAGCCATCCTGAAGTCACTCTAAGACTGCTTCTGAGAAGTGGCTCACTGCTGTCTTAAAATGGAGTGATGGTCTCTACCTAGGGAGATAGAGTGAAGTTGTTATGGCACTGAAAATTCTCTTTTATTCCTGTAATGGTGTGGCAGGCAAGTCTTCAAATGAGCATTGTAAAACTTAGGATGAACAGAGTATTTTTATCTAGCCAGCCTAATCCGTTGTGACTGCTGCAGAGGCTGTTAAAGGCTCCTCCATGTCCGGAAACTTGTTAGCTTAACGCATATGAAATCACACATACAAATTACAAGTAAAAGTCGGTTGTGTAATTGCTTAAAAAGGGGAAAAGACGCTCAGAATAAGATTCTAGACTTCTTCCTACTTTTGCGTTTGAAATGCTTCTCCTTCCTCTTTGAAATTGATTGTTTCAGTCTCCTTTACGAGAGACACAACTGCTACTCTCCTGCTTGTAGATAGAGGAAACAATTTTTCTCCTTCTGCATGAGTTTTTAGGCTGCTAGAGCACTTTTTTTTCCCCCCCTCTACTCTTGGGTTGATGGTGTAAGTCTAGTTGATTTCGTGGTAGGCTAGTAGAGGTTAGATAACATGAAATCTTTTTGAGCTTTAATCTGTGGATTGATTGGTTTAGAAGGGATGGACGAAACAGTGAAGGAAAGGAACATAGAGATTAAAAGCTTGAAAAGTGGATGTTGACGTTCTTCAGAGGGAAGGAAAATGGAAAAAATACTATGAACAATCTTAACAACATGATTTTCAGTGGATAGGAATAAAATGAAAGGAACCTCTAAGATATCAGGTAGGAAAAGAAATGCCTTAACTAGAACAAAATACCTGAGTTCCTAAACTCTTATTTGCATTTTTTTCTTACTTAAAAGTAGTGTTTATTTAGTTACTC